CTGCCACTAATTAGTTGTGTGACTTGGGGCCTCATTTTTATCACATGTAAATAAAGAGGATGAATAAACTTTGACATTTTACCATTTGATAATTTTCTGACAAGGTATGACACAAATAAGATTATTGTAAAGTTCCTTTTTTGTACAATACTGTTTTAATAAATGCCAGTTTTACGAAATGGAAAGTGGAATTGCTAAAAGCTTAAGATGTTTATGAAGCTTTCGTGTAATAAAGAAAGTGATAGGGTCCCTGATTAATTGATAAAGTTATAAAAGAGAAACATGGCTATGTCTTATTTTCTATCAGTCAGTTAACAAGCATCTACTAAGCAGCTACTATGTACCAGGTACTGGAGATACAAAGAATGAAATGATTCCTACTCTAATAGTTTACATTCTAACAGGGGATAACCACAAATACATAAATATGTTCAGAATAAATATTTTTAAAAATAAACAGTAATTAAATATAAGAAAGTGCCACCATTATTCAGACATTTTTTGAATGTTAGTTTCCAATTTTACCAAATGATTTGGGCTATGACTCATTTTGTCAAAGTTAATTTTACCATGTTGATACTTAGCAATGGGTATTCAGCTCTATATGAAACCTGTAGAAAATACCAGTGCAGCTCTTATTTTTATCTTATATGTATAATCAAAACTTTACTATTATGCTTTTGTGGAATGTTATACTACTAATTATACTAGTTAGTATAGTATATACTGTATATATAATATAATAGTATATTAGTATGGCTAATTAGTAGTTATGCTACTAATGGAACAATATGACCAGTTTCAGATAGTAATTTGTCCTTTGGAATTACGTGCAGCTTTTTTGATGGTGATATCATCAGCGGTGATACCTAATGGCAGGGATTTTGCGCTTAGTGACCCAGAACCCTCAAGGTAGGGTACAGGTATGTATTTTTTTAAACAGTTCTCATTGTTTACCCCAGTTGCCTTTCATCTTCTCCCTTCTTCAGTTCTATACAGCTTATTTCCACAGAATCTCAGGAGTTGGAAGTTACTTGAGAGGTCATCTAATCCAAGTCTCACCTGAGCTGTAATCCCCTCTACAAATTTCTCACTAAATGGTTATCCAGCCTGCACTTGAAAGCAACTACTTTTGGACAGCTCTAATCATTAGGAAGTTTTTCTTTAACCTAAATCTACTTCTCTGCAAATTCCACATATTGCTCTTAGTTCTAACATCTGAGGAATGTGTCTGTGGATTGAACCTTAGACTATATAGGTTTGCTCTTTTGGTCTTGTTTGTTGCCTGTGCTTACTTTTACCTACATGAGAAAAGTGACTATGTAAATAAGGAGGCAATGTAGGGAGTGAAGTTTGTGAGGGCAAACACTGGATTAGCGTATGCCCCTAGACAAGAAAAGGGCATTACAGTGGACTTCAGTTAACTTTTCATAGACTTGTGCATGATTACTGGGAACTGGTAGTGGTGACAGCATAAAACTTAATGGTTTATTTAAGGAAGTGGAATTGGGCAGAAACTCAAAAAGAAAATGAATGAACTGAATGTTTTAAACAGTTTTCTTTGGAGCAATTGTGGAAAAGGTATTAAAGGTGAACTGTAGTTTTCTAATTGTGTTATGATAGAATGGGATATAATCATACTTGAAGAGGGGATTGAGATGAAGCTTTTAGTAATCATGAGCAAAAGTGGTATAAACTTATGTTTTGAAAAAAAATTAGTGACTGGTAGACTTCTGCACTATACCAAGTACTCAGAAAAAACTCTCTTAACTTCTTCCAGAATGTGACAAAAAGTCTAGAATCTCTCACCTCGACTGATTGGATTCGTCATAAATTTACCAAGTCAAGGATTCCAGATGAAGTAAGAGCATTGTTTAAGAGTTTGATCTGATTTTTACCTTCTTACATTTGTAAAGATTACCATTTTTTTTGAATATCAAAGATTATATGAAATTGCTTGTGAGATATGTGACAATGTGGTAAATGATATGAATAATGATTATTATAAAGGTAGAAATGAAGTAATGCTTGGAATTCTGGTGTTAATAATACACAAGTTATTCCTTGACTAAGCCAATGTTTTATAGCAAGAGGATAAGAAATTGCAATAATAACACTTGGTCTTGGGCCATTTTCTCTATTTGTACTCTCTTGGTGATTTCTTCAGCTCCCATGAACTCAGTTGTCTTTAGGCAGATGAATCCCAAATCTATATATTCAATTACATTTTCTCTCTTATACTTAAGTCCTACATCAGCTGCCTATTGGACATCTCTGTTTGGATATCCCACAGTCATCTCAGACCTGTCTAAAACAATTCCCCAAACCCATCCTGAAATTTCTACATTTTTGTTAATGGTGCTATCATTCCTGAATTCACTCAAGTTCACTACCTTGGCATCAACCTCCACCTGTCACTCAACCCTTATATCCAGTTATTTTCCAAGTCTTACTTTGTTTTTTCCCCAATTACATGTTAAAAAAATTTTTTAAACTTTTTTTTATTTTGAATTCCAAATTCTGTCCATCCCTCCCTTCTTTCCCTCTACTCTCCCTAAAATGGTAAGCAATCCAATATAGATTATACATGTTGCCAAGTCTTAATTGATCTTACTCTCACATCTCTCATCCATAAAATGGGAATGATAACCGTTTTCACAGTATCTGTTTTTGTTAAGTTCTAGAAATAAATTTCTGCCCTAGCCCCTTAAACAGTCCCCTAACTTTCCTCTTAAGTTGTACCATCCTAGATTGTAAGTTCCTAGGAGAAATGTTGATAATAGTAATAATGACTCCTATTTATGGTTTGCAAAGCACTTTTTTCATAACAACACTTTGATGTAGGTAGTGTGAATATTAGAATGCCAATTTGACTAATAAAGAAATAAGTTTAGAAAAAGTAAATGATGGTTCCACAGCTCGTAATTGTTGGAACTGAGAATACTCTTACTTCAAGGAAGAGACCATTTATCATAGTAATGTAATTTATCATATTTATCATATATCATAGTATCTTAGGTAAATCAGTATTAGGCAACTAATTGGCAAATGGAAGCAAGTAAACTTGGAGATTTAAGAAAAATAATCACCATTTCTCCTCATTCTGAATCCTGGTGTAGTCTAGGCACTTTTCCTTTGGTGCTAGTCATCACAGTCCTCTTACATCTATGATATTTCTGTAGAGAATCAAATTCCCAAACCACATATATCTGGGTAAATTATCACAGTTGTTTATAACCTCAGGTTACTGTGTATCAAAACCACTGTATTGAAAACTGATAATTTTTTTATTTTCACATTAAAAATTTGAGCTGGAAGATTTGAAACTAGTTTGTATATGTGATAGTAAAATGTTTATTTTAGAGAAGTGAGAGGATAGCTGAACAGAAAAGCCTTTTGGAATGTTTGAAAATAAATAATTTATTATTCCATTCTTACAGGTGTTTCAACCTTCACCTGCAGCTCATAAAAAATATGGTGGGGACCCTCAACACCCTCATAAATTGCACGTTGTCACCAGAATTAAAAGTGTGCAAAGAAGACCATATTGGGAAAAGGAAATCATAAAACTCCTTGGACTGGAAAAAGTAAACATTTTCTTTGCTGGTTATACTTGTTTTGAATTTAGTCTGTTTCTAATTTTATGGAGCAGATTTTTGTTACATTTGTTTTTAAGCTCATGAATATGTTGTGTAGCTTTTAAGTAACACGAATCTTACAGTGCTTTCAGGGGGTTGTAAAATTGTCTGTTCTTCATAGGCACATACTCCACAAGTACATAAGAATATCCCTTCAGTGAATGCAAAATTGAAGGTGGTTAAACATCTGATAAGGTTTGTTGGAGGATTTTAAGACTAATTGCTTTTTTCTATAACATTTTTATCATTTTTAGAAAGAATTTTTTATAACATTTTAAATGCCTTTTTTTTAATGTTGTAGAATCCAGCCATTAAAATTGCCACAGGGACTTCCAACAGAAGGTCAGATGTCAGAAACTTGCCTCAAGACCACAGGTGAATTAGTTGTACGGTGGCATCTAAGACCATTGGGACAAAAGGCAATTAAGGCCTAATTGCTTTCTCATTTTCTTTAAATATTCTTCATGTGTTTTTATTAAAATGGGTTTTAAACACCAATGGTCTTCATTGACTGAGTCTTCCTTAGATATTTGAATGTCTTGAATTACTAAGAATAATCTCCTCTTCCAGTATTGAATTGATAGATTATATGTAACTCTACTTTCAAAAATCCTCCTGTAGTAAATCAGAGACCACAACTGCAACCTTCAAAGAAGCTGTCAGAAGTCAATTCTTGATTTAGCTAAACATGGATCTTTTTAAACTAGCCTTTCCCATCATCTTTTCTCCTTATAGCCAACCATTAATAGTAACACTTGCCAGACTTTTACTTACTTAAAGCCCTTTCCTTGCAAATCCCATTTAAGAGTCAAGGAGTCTTTTGCTTCTTTTAAGAATGTGCCCTAAACTCCAGCAGGTACAGGTGTTTTTCTTGCATTCCAGAGCCCATGGCCAGATAATCTACCCAGGGATTATTCTAGTGCCAGCTAATGGGGAATTGACTTTACAAACGTACCAGTAACATAGATACATAAAAATTGTAGCATATATATTCCTAGATAAGCATGTTTAAAACAGCCAGTTTCAAAAGTAGCTATTTAAACTAGATGAATAAGAAAAACTTGGGGCAGCTGGGTGGCGCAGTGGATAGAGCACCAGCCCTGGAGTCAGGAGGACCTGAGTTCAAATTCAGCCTCACACACGTAACGCTCACTTAGCTGTGTGACTCTGGGCAAGTAACTTAACCCCAATTGCCTCACCGGGAAAAAAAAAAAGAAAAACTTAACGTAGTATTAACTTGCACGTTTTCCTCCTTATGATTCCATAATGTGTTTACTTAAAGATGGAGTGGATAGAGCACAGGCCCTGGAGTCAGGAGGACCTGAGTTCAAATCCAGCCTTAGACACTTACAGGCTGTGTGATCCTGGGCAAGTCACTTAACCCCAATTGCCTCACAAAAAAATAAAGACATAGTTGATAGCCAGTTTGAAAGCAAATGTAACCGTATTTTTAAAAGCCATTAACAAATACTCAGTTTAGTCAGTGATTGAAATAATTGAGAATTTGAAGCTTAGACTTTCAATTATGGGACATATGTATTAAGACCTAGAATTTTAGATCTAGAGCAAATATCAGTGACCAATTTAGTTCAACCTTATTTTCCATAAAGGAAGCAGACTGAAGGAGGTTAAGTGACTTGTCCAAAGGCACTGAGGTAGTAAGGAAGTAGCAAAACTGGGATTTGAATGCAGGTCCTCTGACTGCAAAACCATGCTTCTCTCTCTCTTCCCCTCCCCCCTATATTTGCTGAACCATGCCACCTCCTTCCTATCGTAATTAAATTAATTGACTTTTCATGGTATTTGGGGTGGAAATAGACATTTTCCATTTTAATGTCTTTTGAACCTTGAGTATGCTAGTTGAAGAAGGGGTCTTCCCAAATGTGAACTAATTCCCACTGTATCCCTCCATCCAGTGCTCTTAAAATCTAGGTTAAAGTAGGTTGCTTGGTTGGCCTGTTTGTTCATTTTCTCTCAAAAAACTTTTGTAAAACAACTGGTTACATCAACTCAATTGGGAAATCCCTTGGCATTTTTTTTCCAAAATGTTTAATAGCTAAGACAAGTTATTAAACTGGAGAGTCTTTTAAGTTAGAGAAAGGGATTAAATGTGAGCTGAGCTTTTAGAAATGGCAGTGTTTCTTCCTTAATTTCAGAAACACCTTTATAATCAGGCCTAAGTTATAAGTTTGCTTTTTTTTTATGCTATATATTTTTTTGCTTTTACTTTTTAAAATTATTTGCTAATCTATTTGATCTCATACACAGATCTAGTATTCTTCCCAACAAAAAAGTTCACAAAGACACAAAAATATTGATTTCTTTATTGAATCCATACAATACTAGTTTTGTCTCAACTGCATTGAATTCTGTGACATACTTGATATGTATATTAAAGGTTTTTTCCCCCAGAAATATTCAAAATAGAGGTCTTCTGTGACTTCCACCATTCATCCTAAATTCACCAGACACAAAGACATCTTTGCCTCCCTATCTCCTAAGAGTAGACAATACTTCAAAATAGTTTGTAGAACCTTGGGCCCAAACTGGCTTCCCAATCACAAACTCCTATAAAAAAAGAAAAAAAAGAAAAAAACATTTTCTAAAGCCAGTTTAACAAAAAGAAATATATATGCTACTTACTTTATGTTCCCTACCTAGTCTTAACAATATAAAGAATAGAAAATAGCAAACTACAGGATATATTTCTTTTTTTTGTTGTTGAATATTTGGAAGTTTTTGAAGAAGTTTACAAAAACAATCTGACATTACCGTAGTCAAACTGGGAAGGTCTCTTTTTCATTTAAATACATGAGTGTCCAAAAAATAGATGTAGAAAAGTGTGGGCAAGACTAGTCTGACCATTTGTAGATGGTCATTGCAGATTTGCAAAGAGCTGTTATTCCCTGAAATACTGTATTTGTCGATGGAAGTATGTGATAACCATAGTGAAAAAAAAAAATACCCCATACTACCAAACCTAAAACCAATGCTATCTTCAAGATGGTTTTGTGAAAGAATGATGTTAATAGACAAATTAACTCAGCCATGTAGTTGGAAAGTCTGAGAAGTAAACTGCCAACTCTTTTTTTAATGTCCAAAAGCATTGTTTGCTCGTGGGATGGGCCTTACATCCTTCAGAAAGGGCTTCTCTATTTCTGGTCTTTAGAGAAAGACTGTCTTCCTGTATTGGTCAGTTTTCAAGTCTCATTGTGCATCTAAAGCCTGTCACTTCTCTGTAAGGAGGTGAGTGGCATGTTTTGTCAGCATTCTTCTGCTCTTTTTTGCAATGATCTCTGTGTAGTGGATGGAGCAGAAATGAATTTAGAAATGAAGGTGATGTTAAAAATCATTTCAGAAGAGCCACTATGACCTTTTAAAATGCCATCGTAAGCTTGACCCACTCCTCTTCTAAAATCTTCCTTTGGCTAATTTCCTTTTTTTTATCCTCCAAAGATTGGCTGTTTGTATTCACTTTTTTTTTTTGAAGAATAACAATTTTAAAAATTTTAATTTATGGAATAAAACAAGCATTTCCATAACATAGTAACAATAAAAAAGATGATTGTACATGAAACTACAAATCTAATATGCACAACTTGCTATTCCTTTAAAATATACAACAAAACTGTCATGTAATTTTTTTTCCCTTTTTTTCTTCCATCACCCTCCCTCCACTTTGCCCTAGAGATGGCTACCATTAGACACAAATAGTTGTGTGTGTGTGTGTATAAAATTGTTCTATACATCTATTTATTAGTTCTTTCTCTGGATGGAGATAGCATCTTTCTTCATATATCCTTTATAGTTAATTTGGGTATTTTTAATAGTCAAATAACTTGCTCAAAGTCATTCTTAAAACGATATTGCTGTTATTGTATACAATATTCTCTTGGTTCTGCACATTTCACTCTTCATTATGTCATGCATGTCTTTTCATGTTTTTTTCTAAAATCATTGAGCTCATCATTTCTCATAACACAGTAGTAGTCTATCACAATCATAAATCACAACTTGTTCAGCCATTCCCCAATTGATAGGCATCACTTTCTTAAAGTTAAGTGGTTTAGAGTTGTCTCCTTTTTTTTTATTATTAACTTATTTTGATTTATCAACAATCACTTCCATATGCTTTTGGGTTTAAAATTTTTCTCCTCTTCCTCCCCACCACCCTCCCCAAGATGGCGCAGAATGTGATCCAGGCTATACTTATACATTCCTGTTAAACATTTTCACATTAGTGATGTTGTAAGTAAGAATTAGAACCAATGAGATGAACCACCAGAGAGAGGAAACAAAACTCAAGAGAAAAAAAATAGCAAATAGTGTGCTTTGATCTGCGTTCAAATTCCATAGTTCTTTCTTTGGATGTGGATAGCATTTTCCATCATGAGGCCTTTGGAGATGTCTTAGATCCTTGTATTGCTGGGAAGGGTTAAGTTTATCATTATTGGTCATCACACAATGTGGCTGTTATTGTGTACAACATTCTCTTGGTTCTGCTCACTTCACTCAGCATTAGACCATACAAGTCTTTCCAGGTTTTTCTGAAGTCAGCCTGTTCATCATTTCTTATGCTATTGTGCTATAAGAAATGATGAACAGGCTAATTACCTGTCAAGCTGTTGCTCTGGTGTCCATGTTCTTACATCTTTTTTGACCATTCCAGTTAGAATCTCAATGCCTTGAGTAATATGCTATATTCTAAATCCTCTACAATCTGACTTCAGAACTTACAATACAACTGAAATAGTTCTCTCCAAAGTTATCAGTGATCTTTAGTTGCCAAATCCAATGGCTTTTTCTAAAATCCCCATTCATGACCTCTCCACAGCCTGTGACACTGTCAGTCACTTGTTCTTTTGAAGACTCTCCAAAGGTTTTCATGACACTAATCTCTCTCTTTTTATTGTATTTTATTTTTTTCCCCAGTTACACGTCAAGACAATTTTTAGCATTCATTTTTACAAGCTTTTGAGTTCCAAATTTTTCTCCCTAACTTCTGTCCCTTCCTTCTTCCTAAAATGGTAGGCAGTTTGATATAGATTATATGTATGTTATCATAAAATATTTCCATTTAGTCACAGCTGTGAAAAAAGAAACAGATTCAAAGAAAAAAATGCAAAAAAAAGAATAAAGTCAATGAAAAAAGTATGCTTTAATCTAATCCTATCAGTTACTCATCTGGATATGGATAACATTTTCCTACATTAGTCCTTCGTACTTGTCTCAGATCATTGTGTTGCTGAGGAAAGCTGAGTCCTTCATAGTTATCATCACACAATGTTGCTGATACTGTATACAATGTTTTCCTGTTTCTGCTTGTTTCATTTTGCAACACTATTCTCTCTTGGTTCTCATTCATTTTTGACCACTTCTCAGTTTTCTTTTTTTACAGAATCTTTGTCCAGATCACACCAAATAACTGTGGGTGCACCGCAAGGTATTGCCCTAGGTCCTTTTCTCCTTCCATACTATCTCACTTAGTGATCTCATTA